CAATTATCAATTTGATTTAATGATTTCTGTTTATGTGCATATTATGTGTTTGTGAAAATTCGTCGATTTACTGATTACCAGCGATGTCTATTTTGAAATGGCCGTTGTGTATGAGCCGACGCTATATGTATATTTCCGTTTCTGCCTCAGAAAATTTTCCATTGGCTCTTTAAAAAGCTGCTTGAATCAGATATGGAGATGATATATTGCCTGTAGGAACTACGTAGCTGCGGCATCCAGTACAGGGCTGCTCGGTTACCAATCTTGCCATCCTCTGGAGTTGATACATTGCCCGTAGGAATTATGTAGCTGCTAGATAGATCTAAAGGTGACTTCCCAGCTAATTAGTCAAGTACAAGAGTATTAAACCTCCATGAATGAGAGTAATAGCATACGTTTGACAATTTGGTTTTACTAATACATACATGAAGCACAGTTTACTTTTGAAAAATAATGTCAGAAGTCTCATTCCATTATTGTCAAATAGAATTGGTACTGCATTCCATTATCGTCTGAGATGGGTTCTTAATATGTCTAGGAGATTCTTGGTTCTTTCCTAATGAAACATGTAATCTTTACTATTTTTCCTCTTCACTGATCTGTTAAAGTTGAGTTCTAAATTACTTGTTAAGTTGATTTAGTTATTTGCCTTATTAATTGGCATGTGGTAGACGTGTGTCCTTTTGTACTTCTTGTGAACTCTTTTTTGGAATTTTGCATTCTTGGGAGTATCTTTTTATGTGTTGATGATCCCTTATCTCCGGAATATCTTTGTCCGTCTATTATGGGATAAACCAACATTTTGCCATCCAATTTTGGGTTTTAATGCAGAATTTTATACTTTCTTTTTACCCTTGGTTTTGTGGACCAAGTGAATTTTTAGATAGGATTCGGATAATGACTATTTATACTTTTTGTAGGTGGAGTAAAAATGGAAGACGGAGGCGGTGATGAAGATCTTTTCCTGCATCTCTAGGAATGTTACTTAAGAGAATTTTGAATTATTGATTGTTGTAGATGCATGTGACGGTTTCTAGGAATGTTTCTTATCAAGACATTTTAAAACTTTTAACTCTTGAAATATCAAATGTATGTACTTGGTAACATTTCATCACTATCTATGGATTTATTATCTTGTTGGACAATTTGGATTGTATATATATGTAAATCTTTATTTACAATAGGGGGCAATATTTTCAATTCAATTAAACTGTAACAATAGATAACAGAACCGTTGCCATAGGACTTGCAAACGTTCCAAAATAATCTAAAAACCGTTGTAATAGGTAGTTCAATTGTTGCAATATCTTAAAGAAATTGTTGTCATTTCTATAATAGCATAACGATTTAAAAAATATAGTAACGGTTATTGACCGTTGCATTTAACGTTATGGTAACAGAAATTAACCGTTGCAGTTGATAAGAATAATCGTTCCAAAAACCGTTCCATAAGCTCTATAGTAACGCCAGCTTGTGGAAAGGGCGCTGAACCGTTGCAATACCTCTATGGCAACGATTTACCTATCTGTTGCAACGGTTTTCCATGCGTAGCCATAGGTGAATTTTCCAGTAATGGGCTGAGTGCCCGACACTAGGTCGATACCAAAATCAATATCCCTGTCCGGTGGCATGCCCAGCAGGTCTGCAGGAAACACATTGGGAAAATCCCTCACAACTGGAACAGAATCAATACTGGGAG